AAAAAATCCCTGAACTTTTCATTTTTGTATTAATATATTTTAAAATAAACAAAATGGTCATTTTTAGAATCCAAAGATCATCTCAAAACAATCTTACTCTTTGAAAGTATTACATGTACTCAAATTTGCATTTAAGTTGGAAAAATGTCTTGAGACCAGCTAGATTGTCTTTAAAATAGTTTGATCTTGATCCTTACGTAAATCACGTGTTATGACTTTCTGTCATCATGAGATGCTAAGGATTGGTATCGCAGGGTTTATTCATTCTACAGTTGGGTTATGTCATGTCAATAAATTTTATTTTGGGATGTTGGTATTTTAAATAGAGATAATTAGTTAATATCTAAATAAAATGTGTTGAAAACTTCTATATTTGTAGAACTTTGAAAAGATGTTATATTATTCAGAATAGCAAGTCTTACTAGAATACTTATGTTTGTTTTCTTGGTAGGTTTCTGAAGTTTAAAAGTAGTAATTAGAACTATAATTTGACTGTTTCTTGGTCTGTGTTTTGAAATTCTTTTCCTTTTCCCAAATTTTGTTTAGATATTAAATTTGTTTATATGTTAAATGACTTTGTTGAAGGCACAATTAATCACATTGATTGTATATCTAATATTCACAGGCTATAAAAATAGTTAACAGCAAAATAACTTGAAATGACAACTAGAATCTACATAAATTGCTAAAATAAATAAATCAGGTAAATATAAGTGTGATAAATGCTTATGACATACAATTCGAGATTTCTTGCTTCCTGGGTTTTTGTTAAGGTTTATGTTACTTGGAGTTAAAATTCCTGGTTAGTGTATGTGCTTTTAAACATATAATGAGCCAAAAATAATTACGTAAGATATACTTTTTATAAAGAAAAAGTTCTTTATTTAAAAGAATAATTTTGTCTAATTTGAAGGTTAAAGGTTGATTCAAAATATAGATTTAGAAAGAAAATAAAAACAAGATAAAAAGGAACCAGTGAAGCAGGAAAAAGATGTGTAAAAAGTTATGGCTATAAAAATATATTTGGTAAAAAAGGTTAAAAAGAGAATAATTACGTATGAGAAAGGATCGTGTCTGACAAATTTTTTTTCCTAAAATGGTTATTTAAGAAAGGGGAAATTAGATGGTCTATGTAAGTTATGATAAGGCTCATAAAAAATTCATAAATTATATGTGATTAAGTTGGCTGTAAGTAAAAAGGAAATTTTTTGGTTAAAACAAGGTTTTCTTAAAATACTGATTTGCTCCTAATGATATTGCAAAAAGTTTTGATTCTAAGTCTATAAACTGCTGCTTTTGAAACTTCTCAAGATTTATATCCCCGAAGTTCAACTTATGCCACATCTCACTGCTTTCAGCTTTTCCTCCCCTTGAGAAGGCTGAAGGCGAAATGTTAATTCTCACCTTCAACTTTTTATTGGTTCCTGTTTCTTCTCTGGTTCTAAGCCTGTCATTTTGGCCTGACCTGAAAATGTTTTATTTTAAAGGTTTAGAAAAGCAATGTTTTTCTCCAGCATAACTTAATTCTATATTCGGCTTTTCTTGGTATGTCTAAATTATTTAATATGGTCAGAAAACTTTTTGATCTGTTACTAAGAGTCTCATATCCCCCTTCTCAAGGTACTAGCTTATTTCCTTTATAACATAACACTGGCTCATCACCCTGGACACAGTATTCTTATGTCTGATTAATTCAAGTACCCTTTTCACCAGGTTTCACTTCCAAGTTGTCTAAACGGGTTTCCTGTAAGAGAAAAAAAAAAAAAAATCACACTGCAGAAGGTTTCTCTTTACCTTTTGGTAACTGGCCTAAGAAACAAAGACTATGTTTTAGGATAATCCCTATGTTATCTTTTTTTTTTCTTTTTTTGAGACAAGGTCTCACTCTGCCACCCCTGCTAGAGTATAGTGGCATCAACATACCTCACTGCAACCTCAAGCTCCTGGGCTCAAGCGATCCTCCTGCCTCAGCCACGTAGCTGAGACTACAGGCATGCATCACCACACCTGGCTAATTTTTCTATTTTTTGTAAAGATGGGGTCTCACTCTTGCTGAGGCTGGTCTCGCACTCCTGACCTCAA